CTTCTGCCCCGCCCGCCGCCAACGCCCCGCCCCCTCGGCGCTGGCCACGCCCCCCCGCCCCCTCGGCGCCAAGCCCCGCCATTCCCAAAATGGCGGTCGGCCGTGGTCTCCCACTCCAGCAAAAGACTCAGGGGGCTCTGGCTGCTGCGTGTGCCAGAGCGGACACAGCCTCAGCCCCACAGCCAGAGCTCCCGAGGAAGCAGCAGCCCCCCGGGTCTCCGGCTGCAGGGGGGAGTCATGGCCTCTCACGGCTGGTGGCAGGGGGTAGATGGGGTGACCCCCATGTGAGGTGCCACCAGGCAGATGATCTGCTCAGCCTTGTGAGAAACACCGACTCACATCTTAGAATTTAAAGAGGACAAAGTCACCGAAGCAAAGGTTAAAAAAATAATAATTTATTAATACAAAACAGTGCTGAATCGGGTGCACCTCTCAGTCAAGTAATTCTTCCCAATATCTAGTCTAAACCTTCCCTGCCATAACTTCAGACCATTTCCTCTGGTCCTGTCATTATTCCCTTGGGAGAAGGGGCCAGCACTCACCTCTCTACAACCTCCTTTCAGGTAGTTGTAGAGGGCAATGAGGTCCCCCCTCAGCCTCCTCTTCTCCAAACTAACATGCCCAGTTCCCTTAGCCTCTCCTTGTAAGACCTGTTCTCCCCACACCAGGTGCCTCTGTACGATAGGTATGAGGCTCTCAGGTAGGTAGGACAGTCCATGGATGATAGGGAAGATGGTTTGAGTTGCCAGGGCAGGCAAGGCTGGGGCTCTGTGGCACAGAGGCAGCGTGTGGGCAGGTGCTGCCCTGGACCACTGTCCTGACGCTCTCCAGAGGCTGCTGGCTCCTCCAGGGCTGAGGTCTCTTCTTTCCAGTTAGACTGGAGGAAGAGGAGATGGCCCAGCCTGCAGAGTGTCTGTGCCTCAGCAGAGTCCTCGCCGGGGGCCGAGTGGCACCTCATTGTGCCCTTCGCAGCCATGAGCTCGGCCACTGCAGGCGAAACTTCCACCTCTGCCTGACTTGTTTGAGGATGAGGAGCGTCTGATCCGCCAGGGAGGAGACCAGGGGGCTGGAATCTTTCCTTGCTCTTTCAAGGACTGTGGGGACAAAGCAGCAGAAGTGAGGTGACAGCCCTGTGTTCCCTCCAGGCAGGGCATGCGTTTTACCCCATGATTCCCAGGGCCGGGAGGGAGCCAGGGGGCAGATGACTCAGCTGGAGGCTGCTGGTCAGGGATGCCCCACTCCAGAAACACCTTCCTCCCCACAGACGTGCTGGGGGGCTGGCTGGGGGGCTCCATGCCGGGTCCCTCCTCCATCCCGCTGCCCTCACTTACTCTCTGTGACTTGTTCCATCTTCTGCTTATTATTCGCCTGCCGTCCGATGAGCCCTGGGGGGACACAGCATGTCAGGGACCCCTTTGCTCATCAGGGACCTCACTGCCCATCGGGGACCGTGCCAGCCAGCCTGCCTGGCCGCACAGCCACCGGCGAGTGCTGAGCATTGGGGAAGGGACAGATGAAGCTCCTGTCAGCCCCCGCTGTGCAGACAGGGGTGGGAGGGGATGAGGGGTACGCCATGGGGACCCTGGGAGAGGGCTCACCGATGAACCTGACAGCCTCCAAACGGAGGGACTCCTGCAGGCTCTGCAGGTAGGGCTGGCTCTGCTGCAGGTAGTCCTTGGCCTTGTTCTTCTTCCTGGCCAGCTGGAGAGAGGAGAAGGATGCAGCATTGGTGCAGAGCTGCCCCCAAGTCAGGCTGTCCCCCCACTCAGGGCCACCCTTCTTTCCCCAGCAGGACATTCCCAGCTCCTCGCCGTGTGGCATCAGGGTTCGGAGGGAGCAGAGGACTCCCCAGGGATGCTGGGGTGCCGTGCTGGTGGCAGCGTGCCCTTTGGTCCCCTGGGGGCAAGGACAGCGTGGAGCAGAGCCTGCTCTGGGAGGGTGCGTGCAGCCGCGGTGGCACAGCCCTGCGTCCCCCCCGCTGGGCACGGAGCAGGGCTCAGCCAGGGCAGGTCCTGGGGACACTGGGGCTGGGCTTACCAGGCACTCAGACATCCTCCATGCCTGGGCAGGCTCTGTCAGCTCTGCCAGTGGCCTCCACTTCAGGAACTGGCCAGCGCTGCAGAGAGCTTCCTGGGAGGCCTGGGGAGAAGCAGAGATGCCATCACCACCGGGACCACAGAGGACCCCGTGTCCCCCCTCTTGGTGGGGGGGGGGCAGAGAAGACGCACCAGCTGGGGACTGATGCTGCCACCAGGTTCAGAACCTCAGGAGAAGATAAAGGAAGCCACCCCCTCTGGCTGCCAGCCCGTCAGAGCTTCAATGTTTTGGCTTTGGTGGCCCCAGGCTGCTGTGGAGCACTAGCCCAGTCTCTGGGGTGGCAGGGACTCCTGCCATCGGCTGAGCAGAGGGAGCAGGGTGGGAAAGGGACCCTCCTCCCCAACCATCTAGTCAGCAGGAGGAGAAAGGCAGCTGTGGGCAGGGAAGGGGGTTCTGCCTGGTCCTAGGGACTCAGCGAGCTAGACCTCAGAGTGACACACATTTAAGGGTCCAGTGTCAGCAATGGCCTGCCCCCAGGACCGCTCGGGTTGGGAATCCCACCTTAGCAACACTCTCATCCTCTTCGTGCAGGTGAAAGAGCAGCGGCAGCAGGCTGCCCCACACCTGCCTCCTCATCTTCTTCTTTTCAGGGCCCACCACCCGCCCCATGGTGTCTCGGAAGAGGCGGATGGAGAGCTGCCGCACGGTGTTCGACTCCTGGGGGAGGAAGGGAGGAGGGCCTCAGCCTCAAGCCCATGGCAAGCGAGCAAGGGGCTGACATGGAGATGGATGTCCCCAGAAGAGATGCAGGTAGTCCTGCTCCAAAAGGAGTGAGCTGTGGGATGGAGAAGGTCTGCCCAGGGGAGCTGGGGTCCCCGGGGCTGGGGGCCAGAGAAGGAGACCCCGTGGGGGCTCTCCCCCATTCCTTACATCGTCAAAGAATGGCTGGAGCTTCTCAGCCAGGGCCAGGGCGGTGGGGCTGGACTCCTTCCCCTTCAGCAGCCGCAGCATGTTGATGAGCACGGCAAGGGCCACGGTGCTGTCATCGCCCTGGAGATGCTCCATGACATCGGGCAGCAGGACCAGGGTTTTCCTTGCCTGTGGGAAACGCACCACCTCAGCCAGTGCAGCTCCCCACGGGGCCCAGGAAAGCCCGAGCTGCTGCATTACCCACCCCCTGCTGCTCCACCCTGGGCCGCTCTCCCGGCTGCCCCCTACTCACCACGTCGGGTCTCTCGGTGAGCTTGAGGATGCCCTGGAGCACCAGGTTGGGCATCCCCACGCACTGGCTCTGCAGGTACATGGGGAAGAGCTCCAGGGCACAGGCAAGGTCTTCACCGAGGTCCACGCTGCCCAGCATCTGAAAAACACCAAGTGGGAGAGGGCACGGTGCGTCAATGGCTTCGATCACCAGCTCAGGGAAAGGATGTGGGGGCAGGACCAAGCCCAGATGGAGGTGGCAGGGGTTGCGGAGAACCCCCGTGCCCCACACCACGCCACCCGGCTTGCTCGCCTGCTCCTCCACAGTAGCAACCAGAGGCCACCCTCTGCCCCAGCTCCCCCCGCAGCAGTGGGCATGGGAGAACTGAGAATCGGAGGCAGCTTGGAGAGGTGCCATCAGGCTCACCTCGATGAAAAAGGTCATGGCGACCATCTCCCAGGTGGGGTCCTCCACACTGAGGAGCTCTACCAGATGGCGGAAGATGGTGTAGCGCAGGGGTCTTTGGGTCGTCATCATCTCCCTGGCAGGGGGAAGGAGGCACTATCAGGCCCGAGCTGGACGGGCACATCTCTTTGGGGTTTCGGCCAGCCTAGACCTCCCCGGTGTACAGCAACGGGGACTCCCATGCCACCATCCCCAAGGGAGGGGGTGAGGTGGGGTGCCCAGTCCCCAAGGAGCAGGGGGAAGGGGCTCTCACCTGGCCACAGTGCGCACTCCCCTGAGGTGGGTCAGGGTGCTGAGAAGGGCATCCCAGCCGTCCTGCGCCTCGATGGCCACCACCTGTGTCTCAAAGCCCATGACGCAGAGCAGCTCTTTCATGGCCTTCACAGCAGACCTGCACAAGGAGAAGCAGCCAGCTCCCACCGGGACCCCCGACTTGGCTCTGGGTGGCTGGCAGGGGTGAGAGAACAGGGATGGGGCACCTGATGGGAGTGAGCAGATCCTGTTGGTGCTCCTTCCAGAAGATCTGCACCTCCTGCACCATCAGCTCCGTGGTGAAGGACACTTGTAAAAGGAGTGCCAAGAAAAGCCGGGGGAAAATGGCATGCACCTCCCGCAGGCAGGTGGGATGCAGGAGGATCTTGCTTATTGTCTCGGTGGCCTGCAGAAGACAGACACTCAGATGTCCCCATGCCCCTGGGGAGGTCAAGGTTTGCATTGGCCAGGGAAGGGGAGCGGGTGCCCTGGACATCTGAGAGCAGCTCTGGAGGTGAGCAAAGCCTCATCCAGCCACTCACAGCCAGAGAGAGGATGCGTGGGTTGTCTCTGGTGGAGGTGGAGATCTTGCGCTGCGACTGGCTCATCAGCATGCTGAGCAGCTCCTGCAGCACCTTCTTCGCAGCTTGGGGCTCGGAGAACATCGTCTTCCACATGTCCCCGGCAACTCTGTGGGGACCCGGGGCTCTGTCAGCGGGGACACCCTGGAGGATGGCCGGGCTGACATCCCTCAGGAGGGTGTCGGGGCCCCTCTCCCAGTGTGAGAGGAGCCCCAAAAGCTGGTGGGCCCCGTACTGGTTGCACATTGGGGAGCACTGCAGCAGGCCGGTCACCACCCAAGTGGGGTGCCTGTTCGTCAGGACCAGCAGGGCCCTGTCCACACTCTTGCGAGCTACTGCCACGGTGATGGTGGGCAGATTTCCGTAGATGGCCCAGACAATGTTCAGCACCTGGAGGGAAGACAGGGGTGGGAGTGGGGACGTCAGCAGGGCGAGCGCAGGTTTTTCCCAGCTCCCACTGGGAGCTGCTTCTGTTCACGTTGTGGTATGCCAGGCTGAGACAGTGTCAGTGCTGGCCAGGCACAGAAGCGGGGAGGAACAGTCTCCCAGTGGGCTGGAGCCACCCACAGGCTACCCACCTGCCCCATCCGGAAGACAGAGTTCACCACAAGGAAGTCCACCATGCGCGCAGCCACCTTGAAGCTGTAGGCACTTGGGGCTCTCAGGCTCTTGATGGCTGTGAGGATGACGTCTACCCGGTCCGTGGGCTGGAGGTATTTCATGAACCTCTGTGGGGTGAAGGAGAGGAGGGGAGATTTGTCACCTAGAGCGTCACCCAGAGCATCTGGGCTGTGCAGCGAGAACAGGACACAGAGCCAGGCTGGGCTGGGGAGGAGACTGAGGGTGGGTTCAGGGTCCCCAGGGGAACCGGAGCTTGCTGGGGACCTTTGCCTAGATCCTGCTGAGGAACAGCATGAGCTGCTGTCATCCCCATGCGTCAGGTGTCCCTTCACTCACACTGACCCACCAGCCAGGAGCCAAAGGAAGTTCTTACCAGGAAGATTTCGAAGGCGTAGTTGCTCTGTGAAGAGTGGCAGGACTGCTTTTCTGGCCAGCCCTTCGGGACCTGCAGCTGCTGCGTGTCGTGCAGCCCGGTCCACCTGCCTGGGGAGGAAGAAAAGCGGGGTGTTCAGAGAGAGGGTGCACAGCTGGAGGGGCAGTCTGAGAGCACTGGGCAGAAAAGGGGCTGCCAAAGAAAGAGGGCAGCAGGACAGGTCTGGGGGGGGAGAGATAGCCAGGAGGGGTCCAGGATTGTTGTAAGCAGGGGTGAAGGCAAATGGCTTTTCAGACTGCAGGCCAGGTTGGTTCAGGCTTTCTCTGGCCAAGGAGTGTGGCCACTGGCTGCCCATGCCCGAGGGGACCCATCCTGACACGGCTTCCTTACCGAGTAGCTTCCCGGCGAAGGTGTGCAGGTGATAGAGAGCTTCTGCAGCCTCGTGATGGGTCCCCCTGTCCTTGCAAGTGCAGCAGAGGATGAGATGCCCCACCAGCTTCCCCAGCATCTCAAACTCATGGGTCTTGAAGTATTTGCGTCCAAGGACAGTGGGTTGTGCAAAGCAGGGGCCGATATGGGGGAAGAGAGGCAGCGCAGGCACAAGGTGAGTCCCGGTTGCTCCCAGAGCAGCCAGGCAGCTGCCCGGGAGAGAGCATGGGCAGGACAGGGGCAGGGCAAAGCCCCCTGCTCCTGACCTGCTGACTGGGTGCCCGGCTCCCCCAGGAGGTGCCAGGGCTCATGGGCATGGGGATGGGGGTCAGGGGCTGCCCAAATTGGGAGCTCAGTACCTGTGGCAGGGAACAGATGGTGAGGAATTCGGCCAGCTTCCCAATCCGTGCTATGGCCCTCTCCTGTACCACTGCTGTCTGGGAGCTGGCGAAGGACAGCAGGAGCTGGGAGGAGAAAAGCTGCTGTTGTGCCAGGGAGGTGGCATGGCACGGCACAGCACAGCCAGGCTTGCTCCGGGGCCATGCCTGTGATGGGGCACGTGTGCTTCTTGCCCCTTGGCAGCAACCTACTGCAGCCAGGCAGGCAGCCGCATCCCTCTGCTGTCTTCTACTCACCCCCCCCACCCCAAAACGTCCCTCCACTGCCCCACGCAAGGCTTTGGGGTGAGCACCTCTCTGGGAACCTGTGGCGGGGGCTCTGGGATATGGCCTGTGGTGAAGCTGGAGTGGGAAAGCCCCAGGGCTGGACTCCCCTTGCCAGAGAGGCAGGTCCATCTGGGAGGGAGCATGGGGCAGGAGGGGCAGCAGGCAAGGCTGCAGGGCAGCCAGGCAGCAGGTGGGCTGGGGCAGGAGGAGAAGGGGCTCTGGCAGCAGCCAGGAGGCAATGGGCTGGAGGTGGAGGTGGGGGGATGGCAGGGAAGGAGGGATGTTCCCTGTCCCCCTCCTTGCACCAGACACTGGGGGGGTCACCACTCAAGTGGAGGTCATTGCCCATGGGCACCCTGTGCTAAGGGCAAACCTGCAAGATGTTCTTCAGCTCCATGACGCTGAGGGTGCCAGCACTGCAGACCAGCGTCTGCAGCATGCTGTCCATCGCAGCCAGGGTCTGTGAGGGGGACAGAGTCTTGGGAGCAGGCCTGGAAGCCTGGGGAGGGGGGTCGGGGCAAGGGCAGCCGTGGCCCTGCAGTGGCCAGGAAGGGTCCTCAGGGTGGGGGAGCTCCCCGTGGTTCACCCCATGGCATACCCTGGAGTAGAGGAAAAAAGTGGGGGCCTCGGTGTCCTGTGGAGGCAGGTGGAAGAGGCTGCAGAAGCAGGCATGGAGGAGGGTGCTCTTCTTCTCCGGCAGAAGCAGCTTTGCTCGGCTGCAGGGACAAGGAGGTGCTCTTCAGACTCAGCAAGGAGGAGGCAGACCCTGAGGCTGGAGACCTGGGCTGATCCCCACGCTGCGGGTCACACCTCAACTCCCCATGACACTGAGACTGTCTTTTGGAGGGAAAGCCCCCTGGCACCCCCTGCCCAGCTGTCTGCCTCCCTCTCGGACCCAGGACTGGGCATGCCCCCCACCTGGGACTGGCGCTGTTGGGGCCACCCAGCACTGGGTTTAGGCCAAACTGGGGTTGGGGCAGGTACCTCATGGAAGCGATGGCAAACATGGCATGCTGCCGCACTACGCCGTTCAGCTGGCCAGTGGGCTCCTCTTGCAGCAGTTCCTGGGGAACACAGAGGGTGGGACAGGTCGGGACAGGGCAGTCTCCTTTGCCCAGAAAGAGCCGGTGGGGCTGACAGAGCACGGCTGCCCCCATCCTGGAACTTCTCCTTCCCCCCCAGCTGGCAGCCAGTGGTGCCAAGCCCCGTGGTGGGAAGGGCTGTACCCATCACAGAGCCACAGGCTGGCCGAGGGATCTGCAAACCTCATTGGGTCCGAGCCCCGGCTCCAGCAGGGCCACCCAGGTGGCTTCGGAGCACCTCCAAGGATGGAGAGCCAGAGCAGTGCTCATCCGCACCCCACTGCCCAGCTGAGCCCTCTCCCAGCCCCAGGGCTGTGCCCCTGCCCCGGCCTCAGCCTGGCTGACTGTCCCCGTACCTCAATGGTCTCCGCCACCTCCAGCTGGGAGAAGTAAAGCTTGTACCACTCGGTGGAGTCCACGCTTATGGCGTTGCAGGTGGTGCAGACGGAGTTCAGGAACTCCAGCTTCTGGACCTCATCCTGGCCGGGAAGGGGAGAGACGGACAGATGGTGTCAGGGGGGACAGGCAGTGTTATGGGGGTGCCCAGCACAGCCTCTGGCACCTTCAGGGCACGGGCTGGGAGCAGAAAGGCAGGCTAGGACACATGGGTGCAGCCTCATAGAAGTGGCCACGGATACCTTGGGTCTGCTCCGGATGATGTCCAGGCTTTTCTCCTCTCTGTAAGAAGCCACGGTGGAAGGGCTTGAATCTGGGTGGGAGAGAGCAGGCAGGGCTGGGGGGCAGGCAGGAGAGAAGAAGCAACTCCTCTGCCAGGGGGTGTCACCAGCCCTGGCTCAAGGCTGGGACACCGGTGTGTCCCCGCGTGAGGGACACGCTGGCACCAGGGGGGCATGGAGGGTCTCTGTGCTGGGGGGCGGCGTGTCAGGAGCCCCGATGGCAGCCTGCCTGGGGCTGTGATGGTGGGACAGGGCAGGGTGGGCAGCCCCCTGCCCACAGCGCCCACACACTCACCCCTCTGCAGCGGCTGGACCTCGCATGTCTCGTAGGGCTCAGCCCTGCACCTGGGAGCTGGGGAAGCTCCCTTCTCCTCCCAGGCCAGCGTGGGGTGGCTGGGAGGTCTCCTCTCCATCCTGCAGGAGGGAGGGAAGAAAGGGTTGAGGTGAACACAGACCGCACGGGGCTGCTCTCTCCGGGCAGTGGGATAGACGTAGCAACGCTCGGGGAGCTCCTCGGTTCCACACTGTCCCAACGCTGTCCTCCTGGACACTGAGGGACAGTCTAGGTGACAAGTATGTCACAAAGCGCCCCACTGACCCCCCCTTACTGGGTGGGGAGCGCTCAGCAGGCGACAAAACAGGTTTAAAAAGGCGAAAAAAGGTCTAAAGAGCACTAAGTCGCTGCTGCTCCTTCAAACACCAACAGGCACCGCCGGTTGCTGGGGCGCACGGGGGGGTTCCACCGGCCCTGGTGCCTGTTGCCGGGGCGCATGGGGGGGTTCCACCGGCCCTTGGCTGGCACCAGGGAGGGGGGGCACCCCCCGTTGCGCCCCCCCAGGGCTGCCGGGGTCCGGCGGTCCCCCCTATGGCGGTGTGGCCGGGGAGGAGGTGCGTGTGGCCGGGCGGGAGCGGGGCGAGAGGGCGGCGGGGAACCGGGCACGACGAGACCCGCCATGGCGGCGGCCTTCGGCATCGTGTCCCCCTCAGCCCCGCACTGCGCGTGCGCACACGCGGCGGGACGGGCCTCCCGCCGGCAGGGGGCGCGCTTCCGGCGGCGGGGGCGGAAGTGAGGGCTGGGGGCCGGAAGTGGCGGCGGCAGCGGCGGGGCCGGCAGAGCGGTACGGGCGGGACGGGGCAGGGGAAGCGGGGAGGGGAGAAGGGGAGGGGTCCGGGATGGGTCAGCGATGGGGGCAATGATGGGGTCCGGTGATGGGTCTTCATGGGTCAGTGGTGGGGTTGGCGATGGGTCCTGATGGTGTCTGTGATGGGGTCTGTCATTGGTCATGATGGTGCCAGCGATGGGTCTGGATGGTGTCGGTGATGGGGTCTGTGATGGGTCTTGATGAGTCAGTCATGGGTCAGTTACAGGTCAATGATGGGTCAGTGATAGGTCGTGATGGTGTCGGTGATGGGGTCTGTCATGGGTCTTGATGGGTCAGTCATGGGTCAGCTATGGGGTCGATGATGGATCAATGATGGGTCAGTGGTGGGCTGGGGTCCGTGTGTCTGGGAGGTGCAGCTGTGTGATGGTGGTAGCCATCAGCTGGGTGGTGCCGTTTGGGTTAGTGCACCATGTGTGGGGCCCTGGACAGATGTGTCATTCACACTGGGGGGAAGCAGAACCAGGCGCTGTGGTTGGTGATGAGCCTGGGCTGCTTCCTGCCCCACTGCCGCGCAGACACCGAGGGCGGCAGGAGCCGGCAGCAGCAGGCAGGGTGAGTGTGAGCAGGGTGAGTGTGAGCAGGGTGAGCAGCTCTGATCCCCCCCCATCTAGGGGGATGCTGGAGAGGGCCAGGAATGGGGGGAGGGAAACTGGGCACCAGGGCAACGGGGTGGGCAAAGCTTGGCGAGGCACCGCTGGCAGAAGCAGGCAGGAAGGCAAGTGATGGGAGGGCTTCTCCCTCCACTCGGGACCCCCCCGAGCACAGAGGGGTGCTGACAGGGTCACAGCGTGGGTTCTACTGGGGAGATAGAAGGAAAAGCTTCACCAGCCTGGGGGTACTGGTGGGGTCTTGGGACACTGACTGGCCTCTGAAGGGGGGGAGTGCAGGCTGGGCTGGGAGTCAGGGGCCTTGGAACTGGGAGAGTGACTTTGGGGGGGCACTCCGAGGGGGCAGGGCTGGGCCCTCCACCCCCCAGAGGAGGAAGCGGAGCAGTTTGCACAACCCCAGTTCATAATCCAGCGTGGCAGTTCCTCCCGCCTGTTGCTTGCAGCTTCTCCTTCGCAAGGGGAACGGCCAGCGGGCCGGGAGAAGGGTCCCTGCTGCTCACCAGCTGTGGCAGGGGCTCCTGGACCCTCAGAGGCCAGCAGAGCCCTCCCAATCCCCTGCACCAGTGCGGCACGGCTGGGGTCTGCTCAGCTCCACGGTGCTACAGTTCATTCTTGCATGTTGGGGACATGTTTGTGACAAGTTGGCTGGTCTCAGGCAGGTGCCCGGCTGGCAGGAGATGGTGGCAGGTCTGGAGAGGGGGCAAGGCCAGCCCTGTGCCTCCCGCCACTGCCCCTCTGCTGGCTTGGCGATGTCAGACGTGCCTGCAGGTGTCGTGGCGTGGGCATCTGGAGGTGGCACCGTGTGCCGCTCTCCTGCTGCAGTGCTCTTGTTCAACCTCGGACTTGCTGCTGACCCTCACGAACCCATCCAGCCGCGCCGCCGGGGAGTCGTGCCTGTGCCAGGCCTGGGGGAACACACACACAGCCTGTCCCCTGCCGCCTCTAAGCTGTTGCCTGCTTGGTCTCCCATCAGTGAGAAGAATGGGCTCCGTGTCGGAGGAGCTCAGCTTGGTCCCCCTGCACCGGAGGCCGGAGCTGCTGGAGGCCTGCGCCGCGCTGCTGGGCGAGGAGTGGGGGAAGAGCCGGGCGTCGCGGCTCCACACGCTCCAGCGCTCCTCGGATGCCTTCCCCGCCTGCCTGCTGCTGCTGCGGAGCCAGGGCCCCGCCGAGGCCCCCGCTGCCCGGGAGGCTCCCTGCCAGCTCGTGGGACACGTTCGGCTCTCCCGCGTGGCCGGCCGGCCCCACGACCTCTTCGTGGAGAGCGTGGTGGTGGCCCGGGCGCTGCGGGGCCAGGGCTACGGGCGGCAGCTGATGGAGGCCACTGAGCGGTGGGCTCGGGCCCGGGGCTTCAGGTGCCTGCACCTCACCACCCATGACAAGCAGGATTTCTACGCCCACCTGGGCTACGTCCTGGGCGAGCCGGTGCAGAGCGTGGCCTTCCTCAGC